GGCCACAGCTCTGACTCCGGCTACATGACTGACGGGTCTCGCGGCAGTATGCCGGACCTGGAGTCGATCGCGTCGTCGTCGGCGTCATCGTGGTCCTCGTCGGAAGGTTGCTTACCGCCGCTGCGCGTCGCGACGTTTGCTTACTCGCGCGACACAGGCAGCAGCGATAGCATATTTAGCAGCAGCAACGCGTCCTCGGAGTCAATTCCCAATGCACCTGCTGTGGCCGCGGAGAACCCAGGTGTGTTGGTCTGGCTGTAAATTCGAACTGTTGCTGAGAGCGCCGCTAGATCGTCTGGCTACGGCTCCCGCGGACTACGCGACGCACGCTCTCAACGCGGCCTTAGAGACACCAGCGCTGCAGTATGGCAACCTCTCAGCGCCAGTGCTGTTGCGCACTGCTCCCCTCGTCCCCGTCATCCAGGAAGTGCCACCGCCGTCACATACCTGGTCGTCCGAAACGCATGCGCGTAGCCGCAACGACTCCATCCTACGCTGGCGAGTGCATCAGTAAGACATCACGCTTCTGTAGCGCTGGCGACGTTAACCGCGGCACAGAGACTTGGTTCGTATGTTCCCTTTTAAGCTGGCCGACGCGCGGGTGCTTGGAGTTCATGCAGCCGAAACTGCCTACCGTGCGTCCGCTCATCTGCACCCCGCCATGGCCTACCAAGCTTCAACCGCTTGCGGCCTCCACAGCATTCGAATCATCGTAGATAGCGTGGCCGCAGACCTGTAGGCCTCGAGACGTATCTTCGTGTATGACGAGAACAGTCGTCGTTTGAGTGCTCGGCCTGTTCCTCATCCTGTGGCAATTCATTGTTTCAAGTCATGTTGACAAGCAGACGGCTCGTACACCGCGAGATCGAGTGCGTAGGTCGTACTAGCATCCGCCTACGCAGAAAAGCAGTAGCATGGTGGTCCGGCTTGCATGACGCGCGGCGGCGCCTCAGTAAAGTGTTGGTTTTACCCACGCAGGTAAGACTGGCTGCTACCACCACCGCTGCCATCACCGCCCGCGACTGCCGCGAGCCCACTATGCCATCTCAACGATCCAGCACCGGCAGCCGACGAAAGGCCGCTGTAGATCGTACCCCTACTGGGTATCTCAAGCTCTATCGCCTGTGGCAGAAGGCAGAACGCGGTAGGTGCCGACGTCGCCCTCAAACCTGAACCTGCCTGATCGTACTGCTGCCCGCGCTCATGCGGCTAGATCAACTCAAGATTGACCAACGCTGGTTCGACTGCTTCCATCTTCGCGGGCGCGCGCTCGAGGACGCCCTGCGTGAAGTGCTGGATTCCACGTACGATGCTCGGGACGACATATACCACGCTCGCCTCGCTTTGGTGCGTTGGAAAAGACGAGACTGCCCATCGCAACTCTGACCACGCCTACCTCAGGTGTCCCACCCTCTCTATGGGCGCATCCGAGTGTGTGATGTTGGCGTCGTGAATGCGCAAAGTCCGGCCTAGGTGTGCTAGGGGTTCGTTTGCTGGGCCGAAGCCCTCCCTGTCGGCGCGCCTTGCTTCCCCGCGCGGGGTTTTGGCCCGCGTCCTCCCCCTTCCCTTTCTTATTCCGCATGTGAATTGCTCTCGGGTCTGCTGTCTCGTCTTAATCCGTCCTCCTTTTGTCGTCTTGCTTTCGCATCCGTTTTGTACCGCTGTTGCGTCCACGCTTTGAACACTTTAGCAACTTTTTCACTTCCTTTCCCTCCACGTCTGTTATCGCTCAAGTCTTTTCTTGCAACTAGTGGAATGTCATTCTCCGCCTCGTGCCTTACGTGTGCTCGGCCGTGCAGTTTTCGTGCGCCTGGCTTGAGAAGATGATGCAATGGGCGAGGCTGGCCGGCGGCTTCGCACATTCAGAAAATCAGAAGCCGTCCGCACGCGCACTTAAAGCTACGAGCGCCGGTCAGTCGTGGCATGAGTTGCCGCTATGAACATCGCCCAAACCACAGCAGCGGCGTCCCTGACGGTGTGCTTATGCATGTGCGGCCTCTGCGGCGCCTTCAGTCTCGCGTAGGTCCATGCAGCCCTGCTGGACGGGCTGCGTGGCTCACCTTACGTAGAAGGCGATCTTTGACTCGTTGGCGCAACAAGCGGGCCCGCATGCGAGCGAGGTTTAACTTCTGGTGGGAGCGCGTCTTCATACGTGACGCGTCGCACCCTGACACAGAGCGTTAGGGCCCACCCCGCCCATTTCAGACAGCCGCAGTTGGAAGGGTGGGCAGCGGCGGCTGGGGAAACAGACGGGGAGGGCTGTGAGAGGGTATGGGAGCATAGAAGCCCGGGGGTAGCTCAGGCGCGTCGTCGCGGGGGAAGCGCTGCCCGCGCATGCAAGTAGCGCGCGTGCCAACTATGGTGCCATAAAAGAGTCGCATTTATGTGGTATAGGAGGTGAAATACATGGGGGAAGCGCGGAATGTGCGACGAAAGCAAAGTGCATAGCGGGTTAAACAACAGATGGTTTCAGTCCCTCTCCCTTCTCACGAAGCGCCCACGCGCGCGTACTCCCTTAGAGAAGCGCTGAACTGCCATGAAGGAGCAGCGCGCGGCATGCCTTCCGCAGGCGAACATGCCGCCGAGATAGTGTCGGACCACGACGACGCATCAATTGTCGGTTGCGGCGTGTTTGCCGGCGGCGGCTGGTCGAGTTGCGTAGCCGAGTCAAAAGAAGCCGCGGCGGAAAAGAAGTCGAAGTCGCCGATGAAGTCGTTGACGGGCGGGTCCAGCGGCTGTGAGCCGCCAGAATGCGAAGGCGCTGGGGTGTCGAAGGGGACGGCCGCAGACAGGAGGTCCAGGCCGTTCGCCCGGTCTTCGATGTACTCAGACTTCAGCCGATAGAACACTGGCGGTGCAGCGGTCGGCGCGTGGAAGGCCGCAGCTTGCGCGTGCAGCTCCGCCTCCCATTGAAAGAAAAGAGCTTCGATGCGCTATGAACCGTATCGTAAGACGTTATCAGAAGCATGAATGGAGAGAGCATACGGACATCCACCATGTTCGACGGAGGCTCGAAGGCCCTGTTCCGCATCCAAACCTCCTGAGCCCGAGTGCGGATGACTACCGGCGCCCTGGGCCAGCGCATCCTGAACCCGACGGCAGACTTTTCTGCTACCAGACGTCGTGCAGTCACAGGTGCGTCGATCCAATCATAGAGTCGGGACCAGAGGTATTCTGGCATGCCGTACGCCCGCAACTGTATGGGTGGAGGGGACAGCAACGTGCAGCGGACGAGGAAAGCATCGACAGTAGCTTGGTAAGGCGGTAGCTGGTAGGCGTCTGGTGGCGGTAGCCACTCGTACAGGTACGCCTCTTCATAGGCGCGGTCTTTCGTCTCCTGCGACGCATACCATTCCATGGTGGTTTAGTGATGAGCGATCAAACCGATCAGGCCGTGGTCCATCGGTCTGCGCGGCCCGCATTTGTGTGACGTGACAGTACGCGTCCGTAACTGCTTGTTGAATGCCTCTTAATGCCTCTGCGCAGACGTTGTTGAGCCCGAACCGCCACCGCTTGACGCGTGCGCACACCGACGAACTTGGGTCAGAGACGCGACTAAGGTACGTAGCTCTTGCTGCCCTCTGATAGGTTCTTTCTGCGGGAGTACGTTGATGGTCTCCGGTCTTACACGGACCCAGTGGGCTGCTGACGGCTTGATGCGCCGGTGCCACACGCAGGGCGCTGGCTGCGTCGCTTGGATGCAGCCCCTCTACGCTTCTGTTCTTGCATGATGTTTCTGCTTGAGTGCGCAGCGCCGCTGACCCGTTCGTGTTCATAGATGGCTGCCGGCGTAGCAACTGGCGGTGCGGAAGCCTTGTTCCACGACGCCACGCCCTTTCCCACCGACCTACCCACTGATCGTCTTCTCCATGCAGCAGTCCGCCTATGCAACGCCATAAGCGCTCAAGAAGCTCAGAATGCTAAAGACGCGGCGTCGGACTCGCCTCTCTCTCCTCTCACCGCTTCTAGTGCGGGCACCCCTACCGCGACGGCCTCCGCGCGGCTTGACCCGTCCAAAGTCACAGCCGCTCTTGACGCGCTGCTGGACGAGGCGTCCGCGCTTCAACGCGCTGAGGCTCTCACGGACTCCGACGAGTCATCGTCTGAGAACGGCGGAGGCCGCGGCGAGGAAGACGGCTCCTCGCAGGACGAAGAAGACGCATACAGCGCAGGCGAGGGCCGTGCGAACGGCGTAGAGCCGAAGCGGAAGCGGAAGCGGAAGCGGAAGGGGAAGGGCGGCGACGGCGGCAAGTCCAGCGCACGGAACAACGGGCAGGACAACAAAACAAACTCGAAGAAAGAGTACCAGAAGAAGAAGAGGCGCAAGAAACGCCAACAGGACCGCTTCGATGCCGCTAACGGGGCCCCGTACGACCGGCGCCACAAAAAGCTCTTCTATAAGCGCACGCACTGCATACGGCTTTGGAACCTGAAGACTTTCGAGGTGCGCTACGCGACGGGCCCGGGGGGCTACATCGGCAAGAAGAAGTTTGCCAAGAAGCTGTATACGGTAGAGGAGCTGGTTGCCATGGGCTTCAAAGAGCTTCCGTGGGACGGAGAGTAAGCAGCCGCCGACCAGTTGCTGCGAATCGAAGCTGACGGCCTCGTAGGGACACCATCCTCCTTTTAGACAAGGACAACCGCGTCGTCTGCGTGCTGGTTGGCCGTCCGCAAGGCATGACGCCCGAGGAACGTGCGGAGTGGGATTCGGGAATGGCCGACCTTGCTCGCGCGTTCGAGGAGGAGAGACTGGCCCATCAGGACGAGCTGAAGAAGAACCTGCGCGGTCCCTTCGACGCTTTCGCCACAGGGTTCACCATGGGACCAGGCGCGAAGGTGAGACCAACCTCCGACGTGCAGGGTCGCCTCTCACGTTGCTCCCGCAGAAACCGTCCAACTTGGATGAGGCCATGAACGCCGGCCTCCGAGCCACGTCCGAGCGCCTGCTGGCGCACGGACAGCTGCGCCGCCTCGCCGGCTTTGCAAGCGGTGAGTACGCGAGCTTGCCGCTGCGAGTCCTTCACTGACGCGAGCGGGTCCAGAATGCGTGGCCCATTACTTTCCTTTGGCGTTCCTGCATATGCGACGCCGCCTGGAGGCCCTGTGCAAGCACGACGAGGCGCTTCGGTTCCCTTTCGGCGGACTAAGCATGTACCCCGCGTGCACGTTCAACCTGGGACCCTATTCGGCCTGCTTTTCACACACGGACGGCTCTAACTACCCGGGCATTCCGTGCACCGTTTCGCCCTTCGGGCCCTACGATCCTGCGCGAGGCGGGCACTTCATACTGTTCGACTTCAAGCTCTTCTTCAAGTTTCGCCCGGGCACGACCGTCGCGCTGTCTTCAGCAGGCCTGCGCCATGGCAACACTGCGCTTGCTCCTGGCGACAAGCGCTACGGCTTTACGCAGTACTGCTCCGGAGCACTCATTCGCTACGTCGCGTACGGGTTCCGTCTGGTGGGCAACATTCCCGCGGCCGTTCGCGAGCTCATCGACGCGGAAGCCGGAGAAGGTTGGCAGGAGCAGCTGGGGAGGTTCTCGACATGGAGCGGTCTGCTGGTCGATAGGAAGAAGCTGTACGACGCTGAGCGCGGACGGCGGTAGTTTTGACAACAGTAGCATCATGCAAGCTAAAATCATGTGACCGCGTTTGATTGGTCTCGCACATATATACGCGCGCTCGTTCGCACTTCAGCTGCAGCGCGGCTTGGCCTGCACTTCCACCTTCGCTTCCGCAAATCCGACGCCGTAGCAGGACACTCATGAGCCTTGGCGATTGGGATGCGCCTCAGCTGACGTGGGAGGCCCACTTGGAACGCGGCCGCAGCGAGTACGCTCCGCAATGGCCGGCGAACGACGATCTGTGCGTAGCGGAGCTTGGCGAGGACGGAACGGGCGCTTTTCATAGTGAGCAGCGGGTGTCGCGACTGGGGAATCGGTGCTGATGGTTTGTTAGTGCTGGAACGCGGCGGCCTGGACAAAGAACTGCGCGCGAACGACGTGTGAGTGCACGCGCCTGTTGCTCACGTCCTCATTGAGAAGCTCACTTGGGAGCAGCATCTGGTACTTCGGTGACGACGGCGGCCGTCCGACCCCGCCGGCCTTCGCACTCTTCTCTTACGTGACCCCCGAGGGCACTGCCGACGACGTCGGCGCAGACGATGACGGTGAAGATGATCTTCACGGGCCAGACGATCCCGAGGCACTGGCGCCGCGGACCGGAGTTGAGATGTGCGCGATGCTTGTGAAAGCAGTAGTTAGCTACCCCGCGCAAGGCGCCGAAGGCGGCAGGTGCACTTGGGTGCTAGGGCACGCATTCAGCATGCCGCGTTACTTGCGCGCCCACCACCTCAAACGAGGCACGCGCGTGGAAGGGTGCGTGCAGCCTTGATTCTTCTTACGCGCCACATTGACTTCTTACAGAGATGTTCTCAGTCTTCTACATCAGCGCGAGCACATCCTGACCGACATGTGGCAAGCCGCCCGCCTACACAACGTGGTGGCCGTGGGCTCTTTGCGCACCCTCTTCGACGATGAACCCTCCCTTCCCCCGCCGGTCGGGATGCCCGAGGAGATCCCGGTTTATTGGAGCCCAGGCTGTCTGCACGGACTGGATGCCGTGCGTAATGGCATCAGCAAGCAGGCGCTCAACTTCAAGACCCCCCTCGGCGTTGCTTCGTGCAGGTGCTCCCGTCCTGGATGCGCGGCGCCTCAGTACGACCGTGCTGAGCACACTATGGCTCGTTGCCCACGCTGCGCTCGCTGGTTCCATCAGAGCTGCGTGCAGGACGTAGACGACCCGGATTTCGCCGCGTTCGACATAGAGTGGGCGGGTGGGAAGGTGTCCGGCCCCGCAACTCGGCGAACGCCTAACCAGAGTGCGGCGGTCTTCAAGCACTGCATGCGCGGCATCGCGCTGCGCATGGATCCTCCCGTACGAACGTGGGAGCGCGTGGTCACGGCCGCCCAGACGGACGAAGCTCGCTATTGGGCAGCTGTTGATGACAGTCCAGACGGCGAGGGGTTCCAGCAGGCTTGGCGGGATGCGGTCGTGGGAGGTCGGAACGGTATCTCGGCGGATGAGGCGACGTCGGCCGTGTCGCTCGTAATGGAAGGGGGGGCCGGCTTTGCGTGGCCGAAGGTGTGCTTCTTCTGCGAGGCGCCGATGTAGACTGCATGCGCTCGTATGTTTTCTCAATCACAATCAATCGCTACTCCTCCCGGTGCAAGGCCGTATGGCATTCTTCGCCGTCCGAACTGTGCCCTTCTTGCTTTAACAGGTAACCATCTTTTCATAACCGTCAGAACTGCAGTTTTCAGGCCAGTCCCACGGCGTCCGTTCAAATAGCAAGAAAAGACGTGCACTGGCGGCGAGAAACTTCGCCTCGTGCTCGATGAGCGGTACGAAGAAGCGAAAGGCATCCGCCGCGAACCCTAGCCCGGCTAAGCGTGCGCACGGCAGGACCGACGACCTCAGCAGTCTCTGGAGGACGGACATCGGCAGCGATTCCCTCCCCGTCCTACCCACGCCAGCAACGAGCGCCCTGTCCACTGTCTTCTCCGCGACCACTCCGGCCGCGGGCGCAACAGTCCTCTCGTCTGCGCTCCTCGGACTTGGCCTCAGCTCGGGCCTCAGCGGCTTCACCGCGTCTCTCTTCGGTCTCCCCATTTCTACGGCCCGCTCTGGGGACCTATCCGGCGGCGATGCGTCTGGTGTAGACGACTTCGACGGCGTAGACGGCAGCATCGAGGAAGACAAGAACTACTTCAGCGACGCAGACGACGTGCCCGATGTGCCCGCCGCCAACAACGGCAAAAGCAAGAGCTCGCGCGTCAGGTCCGCATACACGGTACGACAACCATCTGTTGACTGAGCCTGCTCCTCCAACTCACCACGTCTTTGCAGAGGTTTCCGATACTGGCCTGGGTGAAAGTTAGGGAGTTTTTCCTGCGCGAGGTCTTGCGCTTGGACGGACGCGGGGATGCTTTGGACCTCAAAGCGTGCCCTCAATGCGGGAAGGAGGGAGCACCCGAGTACCGCTGTCTGGATTGCCGCTGCGCGGAGCTGTGTCGCGAGTGCACGGTTGCGTGCCATAAGTACTGCCTGCTGCATAACATCCAGGTAAGGGCTTACCGCTGCGATTCACACCTGTGCCCTGACAGCGACCGTACAGCGCTGGAATGAACAGTTCTACGAAGGCGTGCAGCCGAAGGACCTCGGGCTTAGCATTCAGCTCGGGCACCGCGCGGGCGAGACGTGCGACATGAGGGCGCTGCACACAGTTGAGAATTTTACGATCGTGCACACGAATGGCATCAAGACGGTGCGCATGCACTTCTGCAAGTGCAGCCAGTCAGGCCACGTTCCGGCGTACGCGCAGCTGCTACGATGGCGCCTGTGGCCGGCTACTTCTAGAGAGCCAGAGTCTGCGACGTCTTTCGAGGCGCTCGACATCTTCCATCGGCTTTCGCTCTACGGCAAATTGAACGGCTATGACTTCGTCCGGGCACTGGAGGCGGCGACGGACGGGGCCGCAATCAAAGGGGTCGTCGTGCGTATCCTGCTTCCAGAGCCAGAAAGAAGATGCCTAACTCGTGCGAAGGACGTTCGACAGCGCTTCATGACGTGCATCAGACAGTTCAGGCATATATTTATGTTTAAACGCGCAGGTCGCGGCCACGAGCCCGGCGGGATTGCGGGCACACCGCCTGGGGCGTGCGCCGTCGTGTGCCCCGCGTGCCCCAATGCAGACTACAACCTTCCCACCGATTGGGCGACGCGGCCTTTTCAGTGAGCTGGCTTGATTTGCTGATTGCTTGAATTTGACGGCGGGTAAGGTGGCTGTACAGAGTTATACTGTCCCTCGACGCTAACTTTCGCCTATCAAACCGGCTTACGCGGTCCTCCAATCAAACGGATCCAAATCTCACTGAAGGGAAGGCGTACATGGTCGAGGAGAAGGACTATGCGGCGCATATCAAGGCGACCGAAGGGTTGGATGAAGCCAAGGCAAGCCTGCGCTCATCAGCGCCGCCGCACCCCTCTGATCCATTCGCGCAGCCGAGCACCTGCTCTCGCTTCGGCGCCATGGCTTTAGGAAACAGAAAGGGAGGCGCCATAGCGCTGAGGACCACCGGCATTGCTGGCTGCTCATGCGCCCGCCACGAGCACATTTGCCCGCAAGGGATTGCTACGCTGCGCCGCGGGGAAAGGTCGGCTGCTGCAAACCGTTACGAGTCATCCCTGACTCGTTGATTTACCAAAGACCTGAATTTTCGTGCCTGAGCGTTTGACCCGATGAGGAGAAAAGTTCCCACACAACTCTCGTGCCGCGACTTTTCGGTCTGATCGGTCCGGTCACATGTTCGGTCAGATTCGGTCCGGAGATTTCATCTTGACTGATCTGATCTTGATTCATATGGTCTGATTTCATCTGGCCCGTTTTCCTGATTGACTGATCTATGCAACTCTAACTCTAGTAGCTTATCTGGCCTGGGCTCAATGGCGTGAGAAGTATTCGCCACAGTATGGTCATGACCAGGATCAGTAGACCCAAGCCAGTCTCAGTCTGTTCCTGCCCATAGGCTGAGGTCCCAATGGTATGTCACGACTTCTTTGCTGCATCAGTCACGTCACAGCGATTTGTTCCCTGCTCTTGGTGTTCAATTTAACTTTTGCATCCAACCGCCATGAACTCAGTCTGGCCTCAGCCCGTGGACTTTGCAACTAGCTTAGTCGATCCTACTTGGGCTCTGGCAATCACCGATGCTACTGTTAATTATGCTCAAGATCTTTTCGCTGTTGAACTTGGGTTCCCTGATACCCCGACACCTCAATTCAATGAAGAGCTCTTGGATGTTGCTTTCCGCCATGAGATTCAGCATCTCGTAAGGACTGTGGCAGCAGCATTCCGGAACCCTTGTATGCATCCTTCGTTCTGATGTCTCTGTCAGCATTTAATGTTGAACAGATATCCTCCCTTGGAGTTCTGAGTCTTATGATGCATCTGTCCGCGGTCAAGATGGTGATAACATCGAGTTTGAAACTGCTCTCCAGGAACTCTACCCTCCCAGCGACATCAGAGAGGATAGGCCAGCGACATCAGAGAGGATAGGCCAGCTGTAGTGTTTGATAAATATGGGGTCA